TTCAATAGAATCTAGGTAGTTATTATATGTTAGATGGAGAAGCTTAATAAATTGAAGGTTGTGTTAATAATTTTTTTCAGGTAATATAATTAAGATAATATGAAGTATGTGGAGAATAGAAACAACATGACAGAATTTGTTCTACTGGGGCTCACAGAGAACCCAAAGATGCAGAGAATCATACTTATGTTTTTTCTCATGTACATTTTTTCTGAGGTAGGAAATGTGCTCATCTTGGTCACCATCACCGCCAGCCCATTATTGGAAACCTGGCCTATCTTTCCTGGCCTATCTCTCCTTTATTGATGCCTGCTATTCCTCTGTAAGTGCCCCTAAACTGATTGTGGATTCACCCCGTGAGAAGAAGAACATCCTTTTCAATGGGTGCATGACCCAGATCTTTAGAGGTGCTGATGTCACCCTGCTGACTGTGATGGCTTATGACCGCTATGTGGCCATCTGCAAGCCCTTGCACTATACAACCATCATGAATCGGCGGGTGTGTGGTCTGCTAGTGGGAGTGGTGTGGGTGGGAGCCTTTCTTCATGCAACCATACAGATCCTCTTCATCTTTTGATTACCCTTCCGTGGCCCTAATATCATAGATCACTTCATGTGTGACCTGATTCCTCTACTCAATCTTGCCTGCACTGACACCCACACTCCAGGGCTCTTTGTTGCTGCCAACAGTGGATTTCTCTGTATGTTAAACTTTCTCCTCTTAACAGTGTCTTGTGTGGTCATTCTGTGCTCTCTACTTAACCATCACTTAGAGGCGAGGAGAAAAGCCCTCTCCACCTGTGTCTCCCACATCACAGCTGTGGTCTTATTCTTTGTTCCCTGTATATTTGTGTACATGAGACCTGGTGCTACTTTATCAACTGATAAAGCTGTTACTGTATTCTACACTATGATAACCCCTATGTTAAACCCCTTAATCTATACCTTGAGAAATGACCAGATGAAAGATGCCATTAGAAAATGATTTAGTAGGAAATACATTACAACTGACAAATAAATGTCCCTGGAGCCCCCATATTGATTCAACTGAGGCAAAGAACAGAAGAACATTTTGGAAGATCTCAGCAAGAAATACTTATGTGATAAAAAAAAAAATAGGAACTGCAATAAATCATATAATTTTGTATTGAAAAGATTCAAGCAATGGGATAAAAACATAACCTAAGACCACTCTTTGCATATTTGGGAAATTTTACGAAATTAGTTCTACTACCTTCATTCATGTATGTGGATCCATAAACTTTCATTTCAACACACACACAAAAATTAAATAAATGAAAAATATATTGGTATTGAGTAGTAATCTTTACAATAATCCAAAGTGGTAAGCACTTGTATTACCCCCATTTTACTGAGGAAAGTATCCAGAGATGTCGTGGAGGGCCAGTAAGCAGAACCAACCTGATTCCTCAAGCCATGCCCTTAGCTCCTGTGACACTGCCAGGCGACGGTGATGGCAAGGTGAGATCACCCTGCTAGTTACAATTTACTGAGCTCGCGATTGTGCTGGAGACTATATACTCAAATACATAGTAATTATATATTTGTTCATTACTTATAACTGAATTCTAACTTTTCATAATCCACTCTTTTTATGTAACCATAGGTGATGGCAATATGCCAACTATAATCTGTAATACTGTGGTATGTAACTACTCTAAGAATATAAAAGCAACAGGTCATTTAACCTCTAAGGGGAAAGTGACAAACAGTGCACCAGATTTCCAGATTTCCCTGTAGGCTTCAGAATCACTTTGCTTTGTCAATGTCACCATCTTCTGCTGATCACCCTTTATATAGTGTGAATTAATTTTTATATTTTAGATTAAAAATATTTCAATGTCAGAAGGAATTCTTATTTATTAAATATACATTCATACTCTCTAAAGTATTAGCCTGCTACTTAATGATAGTGTCTGCAAGTAGAACAATGTCTGGTGCATGATAAGTATTGAATGAATAAATGTAAGTGTAAAGGAAGATGAAAAAATTCATTAAAATATAGAGCAAACAGTGATACTGAATAATAGGGATTGTTTTTCTTTTTTGGTGCAGACTCTAAGGAGGATTCTAACAAGATTTCTTATGGGAACCATAATTTGTGTTAACTCCTGCTTCAACTGTGAAATGAGAAAGATATTGAAACTGAGATTCTCAGTAATTAAACAAATAGTATGCCTTGATATTCTCCCTGCTCTCAGATTTTTCCATTGTCTCTTGAATGTGGGCTGTTTGTTATTTTTCTCTGCTAATTGGTTTGTTTTTTGTAACATTCCGTTATGAAAAGCTACTTAAAAAAATATGTTGCTCCATCTCTAAACAAAGTAATTCCAGAATAAATACATTCTCAGATTTTTCCATTGTCTCTTGAATGTGGGCTGTTTGTTATTTTTCTCTGCTAATTGGTTTGTTTTTTGTAACATTTCGTTATGAAAAGCTACTTAAAAAAATATGTTGCTCCATCTCTAAACAAAGTAATTCCAGAATAAATACGTTCATTCTTTCCACCCTTTATTTATTAATCAACAAATATATTTGAGCTCAAAGAAAGTATTAGGCACCTTGATAGTTTCTGATGCTTCAGTGGTTCATAAAGAAATATGCAGATCTCACCATCACGGAGCTTACAATCCACTGAGAGAAATCCGAAAGGGAGCTTGAAATTCCAGTAATATGTTATGAATGGTAAGACAGTGCAGGCCCAGGTGGTATCAGAGCAAGACTTAGGGACACACAAGAAAGACGTAAGGAGTCAGGGAGGGTTCCAGGATGAAAATAAATAATAGGACCCAAAGCACAAATAACAGTCAGCGGAGCAAATAGGCACCAGATGGAGTGAGAACATTCCAGGAGAGAGACTGCGTGACGAAGCTCAGAAGGTGGAAATGACGATACAGGAAACCTAATCAATTCAACATAGCTGTGGGTGCTAATTCATCTATTCACTCAACAATTATTGGTTGAACACCTATTGTGTGTTGGTGACCATGCTGGGCACTGAGCTTATAAAGGGTAAATAGCAAGATATGAAGCTGGAGAGACAGAACAGGAAGATCAAGAAAGTTCTCATAATTGTGTTAAAGCTCAATGCTAAGTACACTGTGGACAACATTGGAAGGTCTTTTAAACAAGTGAGTGGTGCAGGTTATTTGAGTTTTAGACAGTAACTTACAGGTTATCGGAGTGGGAAATGGGCTGAAGGGGCCAAGACCGGGAGATGGAGAGCAGTTAGGAGGTTACTGCAATGCTATGGGTGTGAAAGGAGGGAGGCCTGGACTCTGGCGGTGCCCGTGAGGAGGCAGCGTTGGGTGGGCCCTGCTGCTCCCAGCCCCGGGCCCCGTCACAGGCCAGCGCACCTGCGCTCCAGCCGCTGCACCGGGCTGCTGAGAGCCGGAGCCCCATCCTTCTCTGTCCACCTGCACAGGAAAAAGTTGGAGCTGCCTCGCCTGGGGGGTTATGACCATTACCGCAGAACCCACCACTGACCAATGAACGACTGGAATGGGGGGCAAAGCGGGCTGGTCCCTTTGCCTCAAGGCGGAACCAGATCTAGTACCATGATAGCCCAGAGCTTCCGTAGCTCCACGCTGAGGCCAGACTCCAGGCTCCAGGCAGGACTGTATCCTTTCTTCTCCCTGCTGTCCTCAGCTTTCCTCAGCCCTACTCAGTACAAATCACTTTCATAAAAATCCCATCTCAGGATCTTCATCCAGGGAATCTAAACATGAAGAAAGAGCAAATGGATCAAGAAGTATTTAGGAGTTATAAACAAAATAACTGGATTTAGGATGAAGATTTGAGAAGGAAGAGTTATGGATGAAAACTACATTCTGACCTAGATTACTGGAAGATCCAGGAAACAGAGGATGAGCCGTCCTTGTCAGGTGAGAGAGCTTCTCCACCTCAGTCTGAATGACTGACCCGCGTTGTCTGAGGAAACTGCAGTGGCCCACCTTGAGGCAGCTGCCATGAGAGAAAGCTGATTCTCTGTGGGACACACCCCACCGCCCCCCTCCTTCTGACCTGGAACTAGTCTCAACTCCCACGAGGGCCCTAAGGTGACGCACCAAGTGTGACCCGTGAGGAGGTGCACTACATTCCAAATTACTACTTGAGTTTCCTAATTTACACAGAAAGAATTCTGTGGAATATATACAGCAGTGGATACTAAGGTGTGGGATAATTAGAGAACAAATGTAAAATTCGATCATGAGAAATGTATCGGCATGGGCCTGCTATGGAGAGATTCCTCACTCAGTGTGGCAGCCAGAGAAGTCAAGAAAGGCTGTAAAAGTCAGTGTGGTTGGTGGCTAGAACACAAACCAGAAGGTGGCCACAGGAAGCAAGTTAGAAATGCCAGACTTGCCTTGGTTTGATACAGAGGAAGAGGTTCAAAGGGAGAGTGGAAAGTTAGAATGGATTTTCCATTTAAGATCTGCTTAACCACACAGGGAGGCCCAGAAGGCATCCCGTTCATCATTACCGTAAGAAATGAATGTGTAGGGGGAGCCCCAGCGTCTTTGAAAAGCTTTGCGATTGCTGTTTTCTGTAGGCCAGACCTCTGGTGGGAACTATGGTCGCCGGACTGGGAAATCTAAAAGCAATGTGAGTCATTTGATCCCAAGTAGCAGTGGCCAAGTGGTGCCACTTAACCCTCCAAGGCAAGGTGGGGCATGGATACCATAAGGGGCTGCGGAGTGAAAGCAGCCATCAGAATAATCAACAGCAGTGGACTAACAGTGTTGCTAGTTTATCATGGTGTTCCTAGAAGAGAAATAGACAGGAAACCTATTCAAGTCTTACCAGTGATTAAGGTCAATGGAAAACTACAACAACCCAATCCAGGCAGGGCTACTAATGGCCCAGACCCTTCAGCAGTTAACATCTTTGCCACCCCACCAGGTGAAGAACCATGACCAGCTCTGGAGCCTGCTGAGGGCACACTGAACACAAACGAGTAACAGAAAAAACATCTATAATGGTGTGACCACTCACAAAACCAAGACTATAATTGTTGTTTGTCCTCCTTCTACTATATGTTTACATATGTGAATATATACTTAAAGCCAATATCTTTATTTTCTTTCCTCTCTTATTACCTTATCATGTAACGTAAGAATCTCGACTTTCCACCACAGTATTTTAGTATTTTCAGTTTACTATCACAGTATTTAAGATACAGGATATTAAGGAGAAGAGCAAACAACTCAAAGACTACACCTTCCCTTCTGGGTAGGGTTCGTGCATTTTCAGTTGTACACAGGACAGTTGTATAATGTTAGCTCAAATTATGACCTCAGTAATGACTTTATTTGGAGATTAAGTATGCTTTAAAGAGATGTACCTAGGGGCTAAGTTGAAGCAATGGACTTATGATGGCTAATTATTTTTTTAAGGTATCATTGATATACACTCTTATGAAGGTTTCACAAGAAAAATAATGTGGTTATTACATTCACCCTTATTATTGAGTCCCCCCCATAACCCATTGCAGTTACTGTCCATCAGCATAGTAAGATAACACGGAGTCACTATTTGTGTTCTCTGAGCTACACTGTCTTCCCTGTGACCCCACACACATCATGTGCACCAATCATGATACCCCACAGTCCCCTTCTCCCTCCCTTCCCACCCACTCTTCCCCACACGTCCCCTTTGATAACCATTCTTGGAGTCTGTGAGTCTGCTGCTATTTTGTTCCTTCAGTTTTGTTTCATTGTTATACTTCACAAATGAGGGAAATCGTTTGGTATTTGTTGTTCTCTTCCTGAGTTATGTCACTGAGCATAATACCCTCCAGCTCCATCCATGTCGCTACAAATGGTAGGATTTGTTCTTTCTTTGGCTGAACAGTATTCCATTGTGTATATGTACCACCTCTTCTTTATTCATTCATCTACTGATGGACCATTCTCCACTACAAATCTCAGTCCATCGCCTTTGTACTTGGGGGAAAGGAAAAGA